GTAAGACGTCATCTCAGCTGCCAGAGCTGGGGATTTGGAGCAACGTCCTCCTCTGCTGTGCTTACTTCTGCATGATTTCTTTCTTTGTTTCTTCAACTCTTTCCCCTGTGTTCCTTCAGATTTCTGACACGGAGGGCAAGGGCACTTACCGTGTATTTCCATATATCTGTATTTCAGTATCTGTGTATCTATATTTTAAAAGAGATTTCCTCTTGCAATCTGGCTTGTTATTAAAAGTGTGTATCAGCAGTCCTAGGCAAATGCTGCAGATGGTTGCATATCTTAAATGCTTAACCTCCCCCCACGCACGCTTCTTGTTTCTGCTCAGTTTGGTGGCCAACTGCTCTCGGCTCAGTCTGAGCAATTGTTTATGTTAAGACACTCTCTAAAAGAAATCAATAGCTTGTGTAATCTATATATATACTTGATACCTTAACTGCTAAGCATGCGTCCTCGCTTCATGATGGATGGCATAAGCAGTTTAAGCAAGGAAGTTATCTGAAATTGCCTGTAGATTATTGTTTTCCTGGAAAGAGGGAAGTGAGGTAGGAACCCCTTTCGGAAAAGGGATTTTATCCTATCTCTACATCTTCTTGTGAACAGTTCTGTTAAGAGTTTTAAGACTTCTTTTTTTTTTAATCCTGTTTATGATAAAGGGATCTGAACTGTATATTTGAAATGTGTGATCCTACTATTTAATCACCAATGATTAACAGCAGGGAAGCATCTACCTCCTAGATCCATCTGGCTTTTGGAGGTAGTGGGCTTTGTCAGGTGTAAATAGAAGCAGAAACCTGTTGCGTCTGCATTTGACTTCTGAGATTAACAAAGTGGGCTGAACCCCTCCTGTGTTGGACAGTGAGGTGTCCAGCTGCGCAGCTGAATTTGGCTGTGATTTCAGATGTAAGAGATACAGTTCTTCATTAGCTGTTTTGTACAGACCTGCTTCTAAAGTAGCTTGTTTTGTAAGATGCGGCACATGTTAAAATGTATCAACCCTTTCTGCGTGTAAAATCTGTGATCAGGTATCTGATACTGTGTCTTAACTATGTCATTTGACATCAAAGGAGACTTCACAAGCATTCTCCTAAGTATTACAACTTACCATTAAGAAATGACACAGAAGTGGGGTTTTTTTGCTTTATTTGGTATCTTCAGAGAATAAAATGAACAAGTCTTATTGTATGGTCAGTGTTAAATTGTGCTTTTCAGCATCTTCAGAGTGGTTATGGGAACAGCTTAAATATATAAATGCTGCTTTCTGTAGATCCCCCCCCGTGTTCATCACTACGCAACTTGAATCTTACTTCTAAAACTGTGACAAAATTCTTTATGCAGCTAGTGGTTTGATGAACAACTTTGTGTCTGTGTTAACCAGCTCAGCTGAAAGATCATTTTTTTTTTTTTTTTTAACATGGTATTTAGCACTTCACTGTGAAGGCAGTAGTTCAAAAGAATTTTCTATTTGTACTCAGAAAAGCAGATTATTTTGCCCCTCTTCCTAATGTGTGAGTGGAAGAGGTATCAACCCCAGGGACTGTCTGAGGTAGTCTGCAAGGAATTCAGAGGGGCATGTCTTGAGGGGAGGGCAGGACTTACTTGTTTTTTAAATACCTGTTTTTTATTTCATGGTATTTTGGAGGCCTGTCTTTGAGTGTGGCCTGCTTGGTATTATTTTGGAAATACATGAAATAAATTATATACATTCCTGAATATTTTATTATTTATCCCTCATTTTTTTGTTTATGGATGAAACTTTGATAGTCACTGTTTAATTGTAAAGTTCAGTACAGGCTGCCTTAGTGTTGAACCTGAAGTGTTCAAATCAAGCAGTGAAGGTGCCATTTGTGCATTACATCTTAAGACCACCTCAAATGTTAATTTTGTATGCTTCCAAAGAGTGTCAGCACCTCTTAAAAATTCAGGGGTGTTAATAATAAAAGAAAGATTCCTCCTATGCTCTGTTAGCTCAACTTACTGCATCTTGCAACGGTCTGTAACTTGAGTTTTAGTTGCACAGTGTCTTTGGAACTGCTTCTCACAGTCTACAGCAGAAGTTGTAGGTAGGTTAACATCTTTTTTTAGACAATCCTCTACCTACCAATTTGTCTTACATTGCCTGATTATTGTAGCTCTATAGCAACACTATCATTACAGCACAATAGCTACCATAATTTGCAATCTGAAATGGATAATGTGCAGCAGAACCTGAACCCCCTAAATTAAATAATACCACTGAAAGCTTTTGTGACCTCAGTAGGTGTAATAAAAGATTTAATGTATCTGCCTACATATATTGCTTTCCTTACATCCATAGATCAGTCCAGCTCTGGTGTAATAAATCTTGTGTTTTCTTCAGTAAATTAAAAATTGAACTAGAACATAGTGTGTTTCACTGACTGGCATTTGAAGAGAATTTTTTTATTTGGATCCCAAACTCCTAAAGGTTGCAGAAGAGAGGAATGCCCAGAAAAGAGGACAGATGTAGATTAAATACTAGGAAGAAGTTCTTTCATGATCAGCTCCAAAAGCTGGTTGGTGGATCTGGAACTCATTTTATTCGGCTGTACTGTTGTGGCCTTTCAACAAACCAGGTATCTGCTTAGTAAGTGCGTGCTGGTATTCTTCACAAATGTGTTAATTTTTCCATAAAGCTATTTGTTGTCCTACCCTCAAACATTTTACTGCAGAAGAATCAAGAATTAAACTGAATTTAAACATACAATTGAGATCAAACATGCAATTTTGTATAGTCCTGTTGATGCCTGATTTCCAGGAAGACTTACTTTCCTGTGTCTCGCTGCTCTGCACAGAAGCAGTTCATGTTTTCATTAGCAGCTGTACTGAGACTGCTTTGCCTTGTGTTGTCTGCTTAACTATAAATGGAGAAAAAAAACCTCCAACCCAGTATTTCTAAGATTCTTCTGCAGTTTTTGGGACACTTTTCTCTCTGCTTTGGCCTACATGGGTGGGAAGGAGTTTATGCCTTTCCTTACTTATGTGAAAAGAGAAGTTACGTCTTTTTTTACAGGCATTCTATGAAATGTTAATTTCAAACAGCTTAAAAAAAATACATTTAATTTCAGGTAATTTGGAGGTCTACATCCCTCAACAAAATTAAAGTTTTTTTGGTACCCCTTCATTTATAGGAAAGCCTTCTGCCTGAGTGCTGCAATATGGCAACAGTAAAATAAGAGTCCTTACACACCTTCCACTGAATATAAAAATGGAGGTTGTGCTCTATTTCAGCTTTAAGGCTCCTTCAACTGTACATGAATTCTTTTGTAAGAGAAAGGTCAAGTGGTTTTCTTTAGGTTTAAAAAATAATTATAACCATTATTGTCTTTGCCATCACAGAATTGCCATTAAAAGCCCAGGCACTGCTATTTTTATTTTTATTTTTATTTATTTTTTATATATATATACACTGCTATTTATATATACTTATCTACATTTTCATATATATATATTTAATCTCTATTATACTATTTAATTGTCAACAGTTTATTCTTTCTGCAATATAAAGCACCACAGGTCCCCAGGATGGCATGAGTTGCTGTGCAGAGGGATAACTCCTACCTGCAAATGTGACCATTTAAGGTTAGCAACAAGGGGAAAACCTGTGCGTAAGCCAGCACCAGCTAACCCAGATTGCTTTTTGTCCAACCATCAGCAGAAGGAATGCAGATACAGTTTTAGATATCACAACTGATGTAGTGTTTTAAAAGCAAGTTATGAGGTGACTCGCAAAGCAGCTTTGCAAGTGATTCTGAACGGCCCCTCCATCAGGAAGCGCTGAGGAAATCTGAGTGTATCAAAGGTGAGAAGTCATGCATTATCAAACCCCTCTCTCGACCAGCAGCAAGGCAGGTTTTGTGTGCTCTATGGCAATCCTTCTGGCATGTTGTTAGGAAGCGGCACGGGAGTGAGCCCACTCCTTGGGAGCTGTGCTGTCCAGTGTTAAGTGGTGCCTCGTGGTTGTGCAACTGCCCCATTTTATATTTGTATCGCATTAAAACATGTAACTCTACGGGATAAAAGGCAATGGCAAATTGCATTGTGCCTTTATCTCAGCTGAAAAGCTGTCTTTACAAAAAGACGAGGTAAACCAAAAAGCTTTACGCTTCTTGCAGACGGAAGAAACTTCTAATACATGAAGTATTTGTACTAAGCAACCCCTTACGGGCATCTTCCTCCTCCAGTAACAAGACCGAAGTGGAAGAAGCCCCTCGAGTAAATGCCTCTCCGCAGTTGGTTGTACTGCTTCCCAGCCAGGCTCTGGAATGCTTCTGACACCTTCCCCTATGCTTCACCGTCTCACTCCCGAAGCTGCACGATGAGCCTGCGACTGGAAGGAGAGGTCTGTGAAACTGTTTCGGGGACAGACACCATCATGTTCGCCCACTTTGCCCCATACCGCAGCAGTGGGGTGTCAGAGCAGACACCACTGTTCGTGGAGGCGCTCAGGGAAGGAAGGGCTAGTCAGTCACTGAGGCACAGTCACTGACGGACCCCCGCTGGGGCAGGCACCCAACCTCCGCTGAGGGACGCTCGCCGCGCCTCAGGGGACCGGTTGGCCTGACAGCTCCCCGTCAACTCCCGGGCCTCCTCCCTCCTCTCCCACCGTGGCTCCTTCCCTTTTTGTGCCATGGCTGCTCTCGCCCCCTCCCTCCCCTCCCCGGCTCTCGGCGCCTCGCCGTCTCCCCGGGCGCTCTCGTCCCCGTGCTCCCTCTGGGGCTGTGACGGCGGCAGGGCGGCCGGGGCTGTGTCTGGCCCGGGGGGGCTGAAGGGCGGCTGTGGGACGGCGAGCTAAGGCCGGCATGAGTAACTCCTTTATTGTATGTTCTATCGTTTTCATGTCTCCCCTTCCTGCCAGGGGGAGGGCCGGGCCTGGCCCGGCTGGGGGAGGGTTTCCCGGCACTGGGGCGACAGCAGGCGGGGGAAGGGCAGCCGCTCCCGCCGCTGCCCCAGACAGTGGGCGGAGCTACAGCGGCGGCGGGAGGGGGAGGGGCGGTGCGCGCTGCCGGCAGTTCGTGCCCGCGCGCCGCCGCCGCCGTCTCGGTGGTTGTCTCCGCCGCCGCCGCCGTCTCCGCAGTGAGGTCACGGGTGGGCGGTGCGTGCGCGGCGCCTGCTCCGCTCCCCTGGTGCCGGAGCCCCGCCGCGACGGGTGAGGAGCCGGGGAGTTGCCGGCGGCGGAGGGAGGCAGGGAGGGGGGGGGGACAGAGGGGGAGCTGGCTGCCCCGCGGCGGGGGAGGGGCGGGAGCGCCTGAGGGGGATGGGGCTGCGGCGGGCGGAGGGAGTGGCGGCGGCGGGCTGGGGGGAAAGGGGGTGCGGGCGGTGGAGCGCGGGGGCTGTGGGGAGTGGGGCGGCGGAGCGGCTCGGGCTGTGCCCCCGGGGAGCCGGACTCGGCGGAGCGGCGAGACCGGCGGGAGGGGGAGGGAGAAGGAGAGAGCCCAGCCTGAAGCAGTGCCGCTGGGGCTGAGGTGAGTCACGGCGCGGGAGGGTGCGAGCGGCGGGATGCGGCGTCCCGGGCCCTTCCGGGAAGGAGCTGCGGGGCGAGGGTCCGGTTCCCCGGCGGAGGGCAGGGATGGAGAACGCCTCTTGTCGCTCCGGAGCCCCCGTCCTTGCAGAGTGTGCGCGCTGGGAGAGAGCCGCCCCGGTGCCGCCCCTTCGCCAGCCCGCCCGCAGCTCGCTCAGCGGCGAATGCGGCGCTCCGGGAGTTGTCTGCGGCTGGCGCCGGCTGTGCCGCTTCGCCGGGGTGGCGGTGGGGCTGAGGGTGTCGGAGGAGAGCTCCGTGCGCGCTGGTCTCCCGCGATTAACTGGGCAACTGGTATCTCCTCCTTCGACCCAGCAGACTCGGAGTGGGTTGTGCCTGACCTGTTCCCCTTTTCACAGGCTGTCTGGAAGGACTGACCTCTTCGTTAGCACCAGACATGCACTGAGCCGATGGCCTGGATCCTACCTCTATTACTAATAACGTGGGGTGGGAAAATTCTGACACAAACCAGTGACATCTGTGCGAAAGGTGACTCTCGAGGGACGTTCAGTTTTTGACTACGATTTGGACCAGCCTTTAATTTGGGGATTTATTTGTGAGCTGCCATAGTAACTCTAGTGGCAGTGGTGAAATCATGAAGTTGGCAGCACAATAAAGAGAACCCTTCAGGTTGCGTTTGATCTCCAGGAGCGGAAAGTGCCGAATGAAATTTTCATACAACTTAAACTATGGTTTGGATCAGCTGTGTTAAGATCGGTGTTCTTTGAACCGAGACCATTTTTCTACTTTAATATTTAAACAGGGACGTACTTGAAAAGGCTGTATATTTTTTAGAGGAAAAAAAAAGATCAAGGATGCACGCTTGTGTCAACATGTTGTTTTTTACTGAGTTGCTGTACGAGACTACTGTGTGAAACAGTGGGAAGGGTATGAAGGGAAGCTTTTTTATACATATTGCAGTGGGGTTTTTATCTTAGAAAATTGAACAAAGAACTGTTCAATTAGAAAATTTTGCACAACCCTCCATTATTGATTTTATGGTACAGTGTGCAAAATGTGTTACAGTTTTTACCGTTGGAGGTTGAAGAAGTAACATTTTACTGAAAGGGGTGCAAAACTTGGTGTACTTGAGCTTGGTAATCAAGAGCACTTGACTTCGGGTTTGTTTTGTTTTTTTTTTATGAACAAGCAGGAAAATGCACATTCAAGACTTTAATTAATTAAAGTTCTGGTGTTTAGCAATGGAAAGCCCTCAAATAAACTTCCCTCTAGGTCTAGTTTCAGACCAAAAAAGGAGTGGGATCCAAGAGGATGGGAGTCCTCCATTAAAAAAAGCAATGACAGAGATGCATGTAAATGGCAGAGTTGAAGTTGTAATGAATAAATTGCCAACCATAAAGAAGGAAAACTTGGACGAATATGATGAAACTCCTGTGGAGGCTGATGGGGAAACTGCCAAGCCAAACAGTACTTCGCTTTCTGAGCCTTTGAATTTAAATCCAGGTTTGAAACACACATTGGCACAGTTCCACCTCAGCAGCCAGAGTTCTCTTGGTGGACCAGCAGCCTTTTCAGCTCGTTATTCCCAGGAAAGTATGTCTCCCGCTGTCTTCTTGCCTCTTCCGTCACCACAGATACTCTCTGGTCCGCTGCTCATTCCTCCGGACAGCTCCACGGAACTCACCCAGACTGTTCTGGAGGGGGAGTCCATCTCTTGTTTTAAAGTTGGAGGAGAAAAAAGGCTTTGTCTGCCTCAAGTGTTGAATTCGGTTCTCCGAGATTTCTCACTGCAACAGATCAACACGGTGTGTGATGAACTGTATATATACTGCTCAAGGTGCACTTCCGACCAGCTTCATATCTTGAAGGTTTTGGGAATTCTTCCATTTAATGCTCCATCCTGCGGATTAATTACGCTTACCGATGCTCAGAGACTATGCAATGCTTTACTGCGTCCTCGCACTTTTCCACAAAATGGCAGTTTTCTCCCTGGTAAGAATACCTTGGCCCAGTTGAAAGAGACTGGCAGTGCCTTTGAAGTAGAGCATGAATGCCTGGGCAAGTGCCAGGGGTTGTTTGCACCTCAGTTCTACCTTGCGCCGGATGATCCATGTATCCAGTGTTTGGAGTGCTACGGAATGTTCTCACCCCAGACGTTTGTGATGCATTCACACAGATCCCCGGACAAGAGGACCTGTCACTGGGGATTTGAATCGTCCAAGTGGCACTGCTACCTGCATATTAACCAAAAATACTTGGGAACGTCGGAGGAGCAGGAACTAAAGCATCTGTTGGAGGAAATGAAGGAGAAATTCAGTGAGAAAAATCAGAAAAGAACTCGGTCCAAAGTAAGTTCACCTACTCTTGTAAAACTCCTAAATTTCTTTTTGCTCACATGTAAATACTTGTTTTGGAAGCACCTTGTAAGTGCCTTTTGCAAGTGGGAATACTTGTCAAATCAAGCCTAAGTTAAATTTGTGGGAGAGCTTCACCATGGAAATACTTTTCTCATTAAAAGGTGTGGTAATTTCTTTTGGTTTTGGGCTGTAAGTAACTTCATTTGAGCTGGTTTGGCTTTGTTGGTTCTTGTTCTAAGGTGCACGGTCTCTAGAAAATTCAGAGCTATTGTGGAAATTTTCATTCTCCCATTTGACCTTTGAGTGTGCTTCGTGTGGTATGTGTTGCAGCAGATGAGCAAAGCAGAAAGGAGCTTGAAAATCAAGTATGAGGAACTAGTTCTACATTTGTCATTTTTACTCCAGACACGTATGGTGTATGGCGACCTGGCTTGCTAGCCAGGGTAATGGTGCATTGATAAGTTGCTGTTTGGAAGCCTGAAGTCTGCTTGTTCAGCAATAGCTTTCTGTTTAAACTACTTGTATAGAGAAATAGGCCCAAAAGAGGGAGTTTTAAGAAGCCCAAGTAATGAGCTGTAGGCCGGTATCTTGACAATGGTTAATAATAGATGTCATGTTTTTTCCCTAAAATGCTGCTGCAAGTCTATGCTGTGGTTCAAAAATACCACATTTCCCTTAGAGAGCTTCTGCTTTAAATAATAAGCACCAGATAAATGTTGAACATCATATGTGTTTCCATTCGTAGAAGGTACAATCCTTTGGGTATAGTCTGAATGTAAGAGGATTTTAAGTGGTTCTTGGCCCATGATTGTGTTTCTTTTCAGTGTATTTGGCATTTATATGTCTGCTTGGTGGCTACTGATCTGATTATATATCAGTTTTGCCTGCAAGATGTTTTGTGGTGGATTTTGAAATATCAAGAGTAGTCCAGATGGCTGAGCCCAAAAAGGTGTGCTGTAAGTTTACACCTTTCAGGGTATACCTCTGAAAAGGTAGTATTGCAGAAAGGCTTACAGTAGTAACAGGTATTTCTGCAGTTGTGCCAGTCCTCAGGAAGGGATTTCAGCAGAAAATTTCCATCCAAGCTGGAATGCTTCCATATGCTGAATCAGTTGAAGGTGCAGAGTAAGAAGGCTGTAAGCTGTATACTTGATTGGCACCGGGTTTCTCATTTTTGGTTGAGTTCTAGACTGCAGCGTAACATCCACCTGCTCTTGATGGAACAGCTGCTACGGTTGCCGCTAATGTCTGTGCTGTCAGATCTTCATTCCCTTCGACTTTGTGACAGTTTCTGATAATTGCTCTGTACTAAAAATTTGCCTTGCTTCTCAGACTACTTCCTTGAGTTGGTCACTGTGCATGGGGAAAAGTTCGCAATGTGGATAGTTAACATTTCTTCTGAGCGTTTTTATAAATCCCATCTCTGCTAATGGCTTAATGGTTAGCTGTAACCGCTGCTTACCTTTTTTTACTTAAACGACAGCTTTGTTCAGCTAGCTTAGAAGAAAATTAAAGAAATTTTTCATGTAGTGCTTCCAGAGAGTTTGGGTAGAAGTCATTTGATTCAGCTTGGTTATATTCTGTTTACAAAATTCTTTAAGAGTATCTACACTAAACAGGTTGTTAGGTAATGTAATATACCTGTATGTATTTAAGTAGATGCTTTATTTTATTAACCTGGATGATGGGGAAAGAATAGACTTAGGAAAAGGCTTCATGTTTATTCATGGTTACCTTTAATTTCCTTTCCTAAGTAAAAAATTGACTTCAAGTTATGAAATTAATTTGCAAAATGCACACTAATGGGGAGACAGTAAAGGTAGTTTCCATTTGAAATAGGTGGGAATGCAAAAATCTGACCAAATAACTTGAAAATAGCAATTACCCAATAGATAGTTTCAAATGTAAAAGTATAAACGTGTTAAGTGGACAGATGTGGTTCAGAAGTAAAAATTGGGTTACTGTGTACTAGCTGCAGGATAAATAGAACATGTGTACATTATTAAAATTATTAGAATGATCTGAATAAGCAGCAAAACTTGAGAAGTGTCAGGATGAGGCCATTTTTCTGAGATGATTATTTCAAATCTTTGTTACTTAAAAGCTTGATTATGAATTTACTGTTTTGGAGCTTAACTCCCTTGTACCCTCCCTCCTTTCTCTGTGTGTTGGAACCCATTCGAGGAACTGCAGGGGTGGAGTTAAATTTCAGTTTCATTGCTACTCAGCTTTTAGTGGGCTGGAAGTTTTGACCAGAGTATTGTAGATGTGATTTGGTCTCTCTTACAGTCAAGTGGGGCTTGATTCTACAGACTTTGGTATAAGCCACACCTGTGTAACTGCAGAGATGAAGTTCTGTGACAGTTTATTTCGGTGTGCATAAATAACGTATCTTTAGTACAGTAAAGAGTTTTGTTGTTGTGGGGTTTTTTTGTTGGTTTGGGGTTTTTGTTTGTGTTTATTTTTTAGCTTTATAGGCTTCTTTCTTTTTTTTTTTTTAATTTTTTTTTGATTGACCAACTTTCAAAAAGTACTGGTTTTGGCTGGAATGGTGTTAACTGCCTTTGTAGCGGCCTGTATGGTGCTGTGCTTTGGATTTGTGACCAAAGAGATACTATTAAGCTGTCTTTATCTTGACTTAGGAGCTTTCTTGCCTTTGTGAGGGAGTGGCTGCGTGGGTACTTAGCTGCTGGCTGGGGTCAACCAAGCACACCTTAGTCCAAAACCTGCTTCCCAAGGCTATTTTAATACAGTGAAATGAAATTCCTTAGCTGTGTGTCTGTTTAAGTATATGACAAAACACCTTTCACTTGAAATTAACTTTGCAGTGGGGCACAAGGTATTGCTAGTAACTTTGACTAAAGAGTAATTCAAAGAATATTTTTGAAACAAACAGAACAAGAGGTGTTATCCAAATACAAAATGCACAAAAGTTTTTTAAGATCATGTATTCTGATGCAACTGGATTAATTTGTTACTGCAAAGGGAATGGAGTTGTCATGTTACTACAGGAACTTTGCCCAGTTCTGTCATAAGAGTAATAAGAATTTGTGACAACTGAAGAGATTTCTGTGTCTGAAACACTAGTAGTTCTTCCATTTTATTAACAGGTTTCATTTTGTAATAATGTAATCTGGCAGGTGTTTACTATGGTGTGGATATCTTATTGCAGAAGGGTCCTACCACCTTTTGAGAATCTTAATTTCTGCTTTCTGTTTCTCCCAAACATGTTTAGCATGCCCCTGCCAGAGTTCTGGAAACTCAGCAGGGTTTTTATATATGTTTGTAAAGAGTTTTTCTTTTAGTTTTGCTGCTACTTTGCATAACACGGGAAACTGGAGATCAAGGAAACTTCAGTGGCTTGAGTCACCCTGCATCTATGCCAAAGGCACTCTGTTTTCCACTACCCCAAATCTGTAGTGTGTATGTATTCATGGTGTAAATGCCATTCCACTGAGGAGCCTTTATGGAAATGTAGGTAACATGTACCCTTCTTCCACTTAACAATTTATTTTCTTTTCATTAGGCGGAATCACAGCAGACCCTGGAATTACCCCAGTGGTATCCAGTGATAAAGCAAGAAGCAGAAACTGATCCTCAGCCACCCTCCTTTATCCATCCAAGGTAACTCAATTTCCTGTGTAGAACTATAAGCAGTGTATGGACAAGTATTTAAATACTTTTGGCTACTTAAAGATAATTCAGAATGAAAAAAACGTACTTGCTTCCTAAATTGTTAGCTGAATCCTAGCTTTTTATGCATTTCTTAGTGTAAATATTAATGAACTGCTTATGAGGGGGCTTTTGGTACAAGACTCAAGCTGTGATCTGTGAGTGTTCTTCAGTAAGCAATACAGTTGAAATGTTGTTAAAAATTCCCTTTTCAAAATAGAAATGACCAAAGGTAATTTTTGATCTTTCATATTATAATACAATGCATGCATGTGGAAATATGCATAGGGCATATTTACCATTAGTGCAACTTAATTCCCTTTCAAAAAAAGACTTGTAAAAGGTGTTTGAAGGTTTTCTTCACACTGGAACAATGGCTGTGGCTGAGTTGTCTGTTGATTAGTTTCCTGGTTTTAGAAACCAAGTGCATTTGCTTAACATAGTACACAGTTTGTCATCTGCATTAGCGAGGGAAGTTTTTCTCAACATAGCTCTTCCCCTCCTCCCTGTGTGGTTGTGCATTTACCGTATATGGGTGAGATCAGACTCTTTTGGCTAGCAGCATGCATCAGAGCAACACACACATCAAACCAGTTCCCATGCAAGCGCATGAACGGTGGAACTTCTGTCATGGTCCTTCAGTTTGCTGTTTCTGTCAGTGCCTTCCTTCAGAACTAGGAGAAAGGGAAGCGTTGAGCACAGCAATGAGGACTCCAGCGTAGTGACACTGATTGTTTTGGCCCTAACCTTAGCACATTTGGTGCTCTTTTCCCTCTGTACTAGTTAAAAGTTAGTAAATAGGTTAGGGTGGTATAGAAGAATGCTCCCAGGATTCCAGGAGCTGTGAAAATACAGATGTATTGCTCAATATATGTGGGAAAGGAGGTCCAGCATTGGTCTCAGATAATACCCCAGCACTGTCAGTATGCAGCTTTGCTATTTAGAGTGTCATTCCCAGATCACTGATCACTTCCCCCATCCTCCATTGCTAATACAAGGATTATGAAAATGCTGGAAAGTCTGGACTCTCCATACAGCAAATTTCACCCTTTGCATTTAAATGAAGACTTCGCATGATTTTCTATACAATTTTTTTTTTAATCAGTCATGTTTGGAAAATCCTCTTGTTTGATAGCCCCCAAACCTTATCTGGATAATCTACTCAGTAAAGATTAAGTGGATCGTTAAGATTTCCTTTGGCATAGGAAAAATTTAAAAGGGCGTGCTTATTTTTCACTGAAGCTTTTACAGTTTGAAATTATGTAAAGGTAAATTTGTGCTCTCTACTAGTCATAATCTATTATGTCTTACCTTTCGTTCTTAATTTTACTGTTCTACTGTTTCAGTTACTACCTTTATATGTGTGATAAAGTGGTTGCCCCAAATGTATCTCTTGCATCGCAATGTAAGGATGTTGCAAAAACAGCAGTCAGAGCTTCAGAAATAATTAAATCCTCACCTGGACAGTCAGAGAGAAAGCTCAGTAGTGGAAAGCACAAAAAAGCTGCCTCCTACCCAGACCTTTCTCTGGAAGAACAGGAAAAAATTGACTTGAAAGCAGGTGTGGAGCAGCATAAGCGTTTGGGTGAGTAGTGAAAATTTCATTGGAGTCTTCTTTTTTTATACCATACCATTTTGGAAAGCTCATCATCAAGCTATTATTTTGTGATGTCACTTAAGTTTTCCAAAAGTTGTTTTGACCTTTTTAATCATCTTCTGTTTTCTTTGTTTTTCTTCACTCTGGAAGTTTAATTTTCAGTGATTATTATGCTGTGTTGTTTTTTTATCTGCAGATCCACCCATGGCAGTTCGTTCTGCAAGAGGTGGAAGATCTGAACGTGTTTCTTCCAGAACCACCCGAGACCCTAGTCGTATTGAAGTAGGTAATGATGTACGAACCTTGTCCCCCACTCTCATGAAGGACATCAGTTGTGAAGATGACAAGGGAAGGATTATGGAAGAAGTAATGAAAACCTACATCAAACAGCAAGAAAAACTAAATACCATTTTACAGAGAAAACAGCAGCTTCAGATGGTACAGTGGCAATCTGAGTGCATTTTGCTTTTTTGCCTTTGACGTCAGAAAACTGATGTTAGCTGGCTGGTTTTAGATTGATATCACAGATTACATTCATTTAAAAACACAAAGCGCACAGATAATTTCCCCTCCAGCTTGAATCCAGACACCAAATCTTTAATAGCCCCTGTGCTCATTAGATTTGAGTCCACTAATAACTGGTGTCTTTTCAGTTTGCAGTGGCATTCAAGCAGCTCTTTCTTTTGTTTTATTCAAATATAAACCACTTCTTTAATTTCAGAATGTTTCCCAAGTATTTAAGTGTTTTGGCAAATATAGCTTAACTCCTGTAAAGTTTCTCAGTTTCCAGGATTTAAAAAATGCAGACATCTGCGTTCTAGGAATGGTCTTATTGCTGCCCTGTATTAAAAAAAAAATACCACCTCCCTCTTTCTATTCAATAAGCCCTTGTTTTTAGGGGGATTTTATTAGCCTTTCTTAATAATGGATGACATTAGAAGCTGGTGTTCATTTGTGATTCTGCCTCCTTTCTGTTTTCTGGATTAAGGTCAACACTGTCTTTGCTTTTTACATTCATAGACCAGAATCCTCTAGAGCTGCTACTTTTAAGTTGTTCTGCTGTTGGAGGTAAAGCTTGTAAATAAGTTAAAAAAAAATTAAGACTTAAAAAAAATAAAATCCCAAGATGCTAATGGAAAAATAAACACATTTATTCAGTTTTCTTATGATGAACTTCTTACATCTTCAAAGTATATTTTAGTAAATCAGCGCTGCTGCCTTCTGAGGTTCATTGTTGGAAGTTGTGAATCTGTTTCTAGCAGTCCTGTCTAGAAATGATTTCTTAAAAGTGAAATGCTTGGTACAGAACTCCAGGCTGTCATCAAGGAGATACCTACCATTATCAGTTTATTGTTATCAGTAGATAAATGTGCCCTTTTTGGCCTAATTGTTTACAGATACACATTTAAATGCAGCTTTGTACTTTCCTGATCTTAGAGCCAAGGTGTATATGATCCTGGTTTTTCTTGACAGGAAGTGGAAATGTTAAGCAACTCTAAATCTATGAAGGAACTAACTGAAGAGCAGCAGAATTTACAAAAAGAACTTGAATGTCTGCAGACAGAGCATGCCCAAAGAATGGAAGAATTTTATTTTGAGCAGAGAGACTTGGAGAAGAAACTGGACCAAGTGATGAAGCAAAAGTGCAGCTGTGACTCCAATTTAGAAAAAGACAAAGAAGCTGAATATGCAGCACAGGTGAGAAGGGAAAGTTGCTTCAAACAAAATGACATTTAACGTATCAGGAAATTGTGAAGCTATTGCTCAGTCACCTTCAGGTTTCATCTCCTCTGTGTGTTTTGATACCATAGTCGAATACCAAAATAGGTTGCAGTGACAGCAATATTTATTTCCCTGTTCCTTGACTGAAACTGAGGTAGAATGCAGCTTGCAAAAACACGTGCTGTTATTGACAAAATACTAATCTTTAACATCAGCTCTGTTAACTCCTCATTTAAAACAAACTGTGTTTTTAATGTGTGTAGTCTTGCCCGTGTTACAGAATTAACTATTCTCATTTTAGTTACAGAAATAAGCCATTTCTTTTTTTTCTTCCTTGTATGTTAAAAAACAAACCCAGACTTCTCGACCACCTTTTTGTCGAGATAGGTAGCATATCTTGGTCACTTTCTGATCTTTGGTGGTATAATCTTCTGCACTGTCTGATAGAGCCCCCATCTGTGCTCTGTCAAAGCATTCAGGCAAGTGTTCTCTTGGAAGTTAAATTTTCCATTTTCTGTCTCTCATTCCTGCCTCTTGGGTTTATATATCAAAACCTGTGGAGATTGTTTCACTTTTTTTTTTTTACTTTTATTACTGCTTCCTACGTAAGTTGGAGATAATTCATGCTGTTCCAATGGGAAAAATACAGTTAATGCCCAAGGGAGCCTTGGAGTGCCTCTTCAAAATCAGTTGCAATTATGATTAGATGTACAATAATGTATTTTGTACCATGTCACAGGAAAAGAGTCTTCACAGCTTTTCAAAAGTAAACAAAACTAAAACTTAAGCTCAGGAAAGCTTTGTGGTTGTTTGATTCTAGCTTTGTGTATTTCCTGTTCTTGCTGTGTCAAACTAAGAAACAGGCAGTACTTGAGAGACAGGTTTTGGTATTTTGGGGGAGTAGGGCAGAGACTAGCATCGTAAATCCTTCTCATTAATTTAATTTGATGACATCCCACTCCACAGATTCCTGGCCTTCCTGCCAGAAATAATCCTCTCTAAGGCCTGATTTACTAAACATCTGGTACAAGCCCTGTTACTGCAAGTAGCAACATGTTCTAATTTATGAAGATAATCATGTATAGCATGTTTTATATGACTTGTGTAGCTTACTCTCTTCAGAGGGTAAAAACCATACTTTGTTCCCCATAGAGACTGGTTGATTGTTTCTTTTGAAGTTAGACTTTGGAAACTAAATACGTTTCTTTCAAGAAAGTTTACTCTGTTATTACCTGTGTGGTAGAGCTATTGGCAGCATATAATTTGAAACTTTTTCTGTTTATCACATCTTACAATAGATTTTGGACCCTAGGTTCCAAGCAGTTGTCAAAAATACCCACGTTAAACAGAGGTCCTGGCAATAGGCAACTTCCCCAAGCTGCATGTACAGCATTTTAAAAAAGCCTTCATCTAATGTCTTCTTGAAGCAGCTGCACAGGCTGCTTTTTCTGCCTGAGAACTGTGAACTGGGAGGAACCCTGTCTTACGTTAAGCAAAATGAGTAATTTGGGGTTTGCAACTTGCTTAAATGTCTGTTCTTTCTAGGCCTGTCTGAAGATGCACTGAGTGTCCTCTCCCCTTTCTTGACTTCTTTAATGAATTGTGCAGTTTCGTTGTTGCTTTACCCTGTCAATTGAAATAGTGTAACCATAACTGAAACCTTTCCTTAGAGTTGGAAATTGAAACTCAGAGACCTGCTTATGTACGTGTTGCAACATGTAAGCAGTGGGCATTATTGTACTGCAACAGTTTACTTCATCGAAGTAGTGGAGTCAAAAGATTTGCTGTTAATATCTAAGAACTGGTTCAATATTTCTGGTTAGATGAAGAACCATTTAAGTATTTCGGATGATACAAGTGGAGAGGAAGGTTGCTGAATGCAGTGTTTCTCTAAAGTAAGCACAGCAGTTCCTTTGCCCAGCAGTTTTACAGCAGTTGGTGAACACCAGTGATCCTGCATCCTCCTGCGTCTCGTTCTCATGAGCTTAATGATGATTTATATCAGATAGATACCTATCATTATAAAGGCAGATTAATTTTTTAGATTCAGTGAGGCTTTTTGTCTTTTTTTTAAAGAAATAACTCCTTAAAATCAGTGATAGAGAACTGATTTCTAGTCTCCTCCCTGTTTAACTGTTGGTAGTATATGGATAAGCAGTTTGACAGTAACTTTCACACACTTGAAAAATTATACAGTCATTTCCAGACCTCACTGTGAATAAGTTCTGATGACACTCTATGAAGTTCAAGTTTTACTGTACTCCAAAGATGAAAAATACTACTTAATTTTTGTGTTTAAACACGAAACATTTCGCCAAAAAATGTGCATGGGCTCATATTTGAACACATATATAAATGCACAGGCGTTATGTTCAAGGTTTTCTGAATGTCATTTATGGTAAGTCTGTTTTATTTAGACTGAAGGGTACTGAAACAGTGTTGGTGGTTTTGTTTGTTCTAGAAGTGCATTCAGGCTTTGAAATAAAGGAGTAATACTTTGTCAGTAAGAGAAAAGAAGCTGATAAATGGAAAAGTGCTCTTTATTCTGGGATTTGTGAAACACCTGATTCTGACATAATGACAGTCTTCCTAACAGATTGTGTGTATTATTACATGGTCTAGTGTGACAGTTAATATAACTACAATTTATATGTATATGATGTTTATGCAACTTTACATACTGATGTTATTTGCTAATGGTGTAGTATGCTGCATGATTCTTGGTAACAGCAGAAGAGGAGATGATAAATAACTGGTGAATGAAGTCCTTTCATCTGATGCGTAGGGTAGTCACTAGTGGTGTCTTGAAGTGAATAGTTGATGTTACAAATAAGTTCACTAAAATTTGCTCTGCCTCTCTTTGTCTTTTTTACAGCTAGCAGAATTGAGACAGAGACTGGATCATGCAGAGGCAGATAGACAAGAGCTTCAGGATGAACTGAGACAAGAACGAGAGGCAAGAGAAAAGTTAGAAATGATGATAAAGGAGTTGAAGCTGCAGATCTTGAAATCTTCAAAAAATGGGAAAGGAAAATAGAAATTGAAAGAGGAAACTTGACTAAGTCCTTCAAACAGGGTGTTTTCATTTTTAATGAATTTTGAGCAGTTTAGTGTGTTGAGAAGTATTCTCTGCAGATTTCTATTTCCCAGACAAGTCCAGATGACGATATACATAAATAAATATAGATAGGTGTACATTTTTAGATTTTCATAACCAATAAAAATCTGCATTTATTTGTACTGGTGTTTTTCTCAAACAATGAAAAATGCAAACCTCTTGATTTAGGGTGACCAGTTCTATTTCTAATGCAGTCTTGAGGACTCTATACCTTTTAATATTGTCTGTTAAAATATATGTGGTGATCTTTTATTCTGCTATCAATTGCACATTCAGCTATAAAAGTACATTTAAAACATTTTGAGTTCTTCAAGGGCAAAAGTGTAAATTATTCATTCTTGAACTGGGGAAAGTAAAGGCAGCTTTCCATCTGTAAGGTAATACTCAAAATTTCCACAGAGACAAATGATGGATCATCAAAAGTGATTTAGCAGCATGAGTTTTTCCCATAATTTCATTGTGTGAAGTCAAGCTGATATTTTCAGAATTTTCTATTTAAGAGCTCATTAATAATCTAAAGAATTTTAGAGCCAGCATTTGCTTGCCGTGCTGGAAGAAGAAAACATTAGGGTGTTTTTGTAAATGAAAAAAATCACAGTTATAATGGAATCTTTGGGAATTAAAAACTCACTTTTTTTTTTTTCCTTCTATTTAGTAGGTATGAAAGCAATGTTAATAAAAACTTACAAGTGGGGGGTTTCCTTTTAGAAACTGAGGAGGCTTGACTTAACTGGTTTTCAGATAGTAAAGCTTTCAAGAAAAGTAATATTTATTAAAAAATATTATTAGTTTCTCTCGTACCGTAAGCCTCCGCACTTTGAGCTTCTTGCCAACTTGTGGATCTTTCTTCCATTACATAGAACAGGCCTTAACTGACATTGCGAGAATAGCTTAAAAAATAAACTTCTGAGATATGGCACTTTGAAAACCATTTTGATAGTCTCTGTATTTGAATGGCATGGTAGTGTTACCATGAATTAAGAAATTCAGCATGTTTGTTAAGCTATAACATTTGAAAGTGTGTGATTGTACAGAATTGCTGTTTTATGTATATATAATGTTTGAGTACTTCAGAAGTCTGGTTCCTAGTGGATTAAACGCATGACTACAAAGTTGGTTGAAGAAATACTTCTTGCACTTCTTTCCAAAAAGTCTGATACAGCTGACAGACATTAGCTGATTTATGTCAGTGATTAGAAATATTTTAGTAATTCTAGCATTTCACTATGTAGTTTTAACCTTTACTTTGGCTTCTGTTTTTGAGGTATTTAGGTTTATTACTCTCTTAATAATTCAGTTAATTTGGGATGAAACCACTAGTAAAAGCCTACACTGGTATTTTTTTTATTAATTTTTAATCTCCCCCCTAACTAATAAAACTGAAAACTTTTGAGTTCACTTTTGTTTCAGTGGTATGACAAGAGTGAATATCACAGAGAAAGATAAAATTGCACAACTCTTTAAAGTGGATGAGAAATGAGGTGATAAATTCCCATGGAGTCACAGAATAATTCTTTTATAGCTGTATACAGTTTTGTTTCTGAGCTCTGTGTCATATTTACACTGGTAATTAAAACAGGTTAGATGGAAAAAAATCCCAACCATTTTTTTTCTTTGTCAGTGTTGATCAGAAACTATTACATTTCTTTCCCTTCATCTCTAAATTTTTGCTTAAAAAAAAAAAAAGGGGGGGGGAAAAGTCTGTGTTTGCAGCATAATTTGGCAGGAAAGGTGCTCACTGTAGATGGTTCCGATTGTTTACACACCACTTGCTTTAGAAACACAGTGTTTTACTGTAACAAGCACCAAAACCATGGTTAAAGGGAGGGAGAGTAGGCAAGAATGGTGATAAAAGTGGTTGTTAGGGAATGGAGCTTGAAGTAGTCATTGATGGACTGAACGTATGTTGGTTTGCTTAGATGGGCAAGAAGCAAAATGCTGTCCTAGGAAACAAAAATTTCAGCTGAGTGTTACTGAAGGAGCAAAAGAGAGCATTTCTATTTGCTTTAACAGTGTTTTGAACCAGACTTGTTTGTTTGTCAGTATAGGTAAGGCCATACAAACTTGTTTAATACAGCTGCAGTAACTAAATTACCACAGTATTTATATTTTAGCTGTTTAATTTATGCAATCCTCATGGAATTATTATATTAGAATACTGTATAGTCTGTTTCCATTCAGGTCTTGTCTGTGTTATGTAGCTTCTGCTCAAGTTTGCCCTTTTGTCACTGGTGTATCTTCAGCAGTGGCAATTGCAGCAGAGTGCTGGTGTATCCTGGGTTACTCTGTGTCAACCAGCTGTTAACTGGCTTACGCTGTGGACTATTAAAATGCTGGTGTCCATAATTTGTACTAGCATTTTCACTGTTTCAAGAACTCAAGCAGCTATATGAATTTTAAGCAATTCCAGCTATGTATATGTCCTCCTAATCATTTAAAAACATCTGGTTGAAAAAGCTGGTAGAACATTTATTAAAATAACTTTAAAAGCAGCTTTGTAAATACTCCATTTAGTCATCTAACGTTAGAATGCATTTTAAATTATTGTAATATTCTTAAAATTCTTAAATATTACTTTCAGGCTCTTTAACATAAGCAATTTTCATATGTGTAGACTTAATTTTATACTGATTTTAGGTAATAATGTATACATAAATGTGCCATAGATTTTGTGTGTTCACAGCCTTTGAAAGATAGTTTTTTAGTAAATTGTAAATAGTGCTGTATCGGTTCTAGAACAAATATGTTGACCTTTTTTCACTACCTTATGCTACTTACATTGAATGGTTTATTTTACAGCCTAATATAGGAACTCGGAATGCACATTTAAGGGCCTTCATTTAAGTGCACACTTAATGGTAGAAACTAATTCTGTCATTAGGTCCTCCCTTTTAGTCATAGCATGCTCATTTTCTGTATTAATACTTGTTTTGTCTTCAGTTTTTGCTTGCTGATCTTTCAGGCAGGGAGTAATTTTCCTGGGTAGTTGTGATGTGAAACCTGTAGGAAAAAATTCTAAAGTTGTCTGTAATCTTGAAAGTTGCATTATTAAATACCCAAACTGAGATCAAAGTTGCCTAGTGTACCTTCTGGAACAAAGTAAGTAGGGTTCAAGGTGAATAGCTAGTTTCCTCCTATATTTCTTCCAAAAGAGAACTTCCACATTGCTTTGTGTACTTCAATCAACAAGAAAACCTAAGAGCTTAAAGAGTAAAACTCCTGCAGTTTTGGCAGTCTGAAAGCACACTCTTTTGCAGCGTAGTGATGTATCCCAAGACAAAAGAGATTTTTATCTAAATCTCCAGACTTAGTCTGTGTTTTAGTTTTTGTAGTGTACTGTTCAATTTGAGTATTTAGATAAATGTAGTTATGTTTTGCGTTCTTAAACTAATTTTATTCTATATTTAATATATTGATAGCTTAGCTGTAAAATCACTTGTATATAGTAAAGGCATAAAGCAATTAGTGAAGTAGAAGTTGAGTGGGATCATAAAGCTACTGGTGGCCTGAAAGAATAAGTCTTGGCCCGTATTTTAGAAGTCACAATGTTTCCTTCATACACTCTTGTTTTCTGTTGGGGAGGGGATAGCTAGAATGTGTTACGAGATTTTTGGAGGAGTTTCCTAGCATTAGGTATGAAGTTGGCCTTGCCATGCTGACATGGTCAGCTTCCTGGAATTCACTTGTTTGTAGAGTATATATTTTGATTGTCAGTTAAGATAACGACTTTGTATTTTTTTCTGCACTTAATTCATGTAATTGACCCACACAGCAGTTTTCTATAGGGTGGTGAAGTTGACAAAAGACATAATTACACCTACCTGTTAATCTGTGCTTACAATATTTCAGTAATTTTATTTAAGCTGTCAGTAGTAAGCAGAAGAAAGCTGTAAATTTTAATTTTCTTTTTTTCTCATTACACTGGCAGTTTGAGTAATCATCAGTTTTCATTACAGAAAATGTGTAGAATTTTCAATTTGTTGCTTATTTCCAAAAGACACCCAATTTTCGTTTAGCTTTTGTGATAGCAGTTACTACTTACAGCTTCTGCGACCGTGTTGTATGGTGTCTTCACTACTTGGAAAATTGTGTATTTTCAGGGTTAGTGGTTCAGTTGGAAAATGCTTGAAAAATGAGTTCTAAGCACTTCATCAAGCACAGCAAACAAATGGTATAAAATTTTGCTATTTGAAAATTGATTAAATGTAATAGTATCAATTTTTTTTCCTTCGAATATAGATACCTCACTTAAAGGAAAGCACAGCTGTACTGTATTTAAACTAATTCTAGGAAATAATAAAAAACCGGTCTAAAATACTTTGTTGCCGTTATGTTGCTTTCTGTGATTGACAAAATCTGGTTTTGTGTTTTCATACTCTTGAACGTATTGATGCTGACATGCCGGTATATAATGATCTCAAATTACAGAAAGTAGCTGCAAAACAACAGTTTGTGTTAGCGCAAGGCAACAGGTTGGATGGCTATTCTGAAACCGTAGTAAAAGCCTGTGAAAAATGATCAGTGCATTCAACAATTTTTAGTACTTTGCCAATGATGTACAGTCGTATTGTTAAGAGTTGCTGTGGTTGCATTACATGACACACAAAACTGTCCTCTACCTCACGTGAGATTTAACAGATATTTTATATGGTTTTAGTAAACAAGATGCATCTATCTGGTCACTTAGTTTACAAATTTTAAATTATATTTATTGAAACATGACATACTGTGCTCTTAGCTTATACCTCAATTGTATTTTGTGCTGTTATCCATTTTCATGCTTTGTAAATACCTGTATAGATTGTGGATTCACAAAAATAAAGAACTGTAATGTCAGAACACTTGTCTGTGATGTTTTCAAACACTGACTTCTAAACTTGACTTCTTGGAAGGAGTTTAACAACACAGACTGACTCTTCCTTGCTCTGGGCACAGTAAATTAAACCCCAATTACACTGACTTGTTTGCAGAGCTCCCACGGCCTGCCAGCAGGTCCCGGTTTTCTAAAGGGCATATTTAGCAAAATTGACAAGACGATGGCCTGCCCTCCTCATGAGTCCATTGAAGACTTCTAAAGCTCTTACGACTCCATGAAGAGATTATTGACAGTAAGATTTCTCTGTATCTTGACATAAATTTGGCGTGTATACACGTTAAGTACAACCACTTGCATATTTGGGTTGTTCTCTGGTGCGCAGCTTTTGTTGCTACTTGGAAATTCCAGCTATGTTTGAGTTATTCACACCTTTAATAGCTTAGTAATGAACAAGATAGATAAAAAAAATCACACATTACTCAGATAAAATGCTGAGACTATGCAAAGTTAAAAATCAGAAATGAGAATTCTACTGAATTGGCTGAAGAAATACCCCTGGTAAAAAACGTGCCCAACAGTGACTCTCAGAAGTTCTTAGTTTTTGTGAATTATGATTACATTGCTTAATATTTCTGTGTATCATCAGGGAGCCTAAATAGCAGAAAATTGAGAATAGAAGAGGCAGCCAGGAGGAAAGTGGGAGTTGTTCCTATAAGGTGCGTGTGAATGGGACTTCCATTTAGGTTAAGCTTCCACCACTTATAACAGCAAACTATATTGGTTACTTAACCCCCCCCCCACACACACACACATTGTAGTAAAAATTACAGCCTTTACTACAACTAATATTTTGGAGATTTTCTATGTTATTTTATTCATACCGAGAGGTTTTTCCTGACAGGTACGCAAGTGTGGTCACATACACGAGATTTTTTTCCTTCTCAAATCAGAGCAAAACCGCTTTGTCCTTGTTTCAAGGTACTGCTCTTGCATGTGGGAAATCCTGATTATGTTTCAGATTATTGAAAACCCTTAATGCTACTATGTACTGGCCTGTGTTTTACAGCTGAAGAGAGAAATGAGTGGAATGAGCCACGCTGAAGATGAATTTTACAATATTTTGATGACCTCAGCCCTTAGTATGGAAGAAAATTAATAACTAGCTGTATCACTTAAACCTGTTGACTTCAGCATCCCGGGCTGGATTTTTATCCTGCTGTATTTTCAAATGAGGGGGAAGCTAACAGGGTGAAAAACCTGCAAAAAGCAAGTTCAAGGTGAGTCATTTTGTATGAGAAAAAGCCGTAGGGTGTTGATAACTTGTGTAAGAATGACTAATTGAAGTGCGTATTATTTGTCAGAGAAAACAATGCTGCTGATCAAGGGAAATCTGTTGGAGTGACAGGGTAGAAAGATTGATATTTAAGCTGTTCACACTTGCCGAAATGAATAGCTTTAAAAATGGCAAGTTTTAAGGGTATTTCCCTAAGCGTATCAGTTTATTTAGCATATAGCTGGGAAGTCATTCTTTGCTTCTTATTTTATTGATCTTGTGAGTCGTTGTTCACTTGTAGCATACTTCTATTCACTTAAATATCAGTGGTATTTATAACAGTGACAAAATAGTACATGTTTCCTGTCTCTAGCCACGTTAATGAAGTATTTCAGACTGGGCACCAGGTTGAGTCCTGTTGAGTTACTCTAGCTACTAACGTGTAAAATTTACTTCTTGCCTGTTGAGCTGCTGCACACTCTGGCAAATAAAATACATTTGTGAGGGAAAACATGGCAGTGTTAAAAACTTTTGTAGTTAATAAAACCATAACTGTAGGGGTTTGAATTATGGTAGGATGTGCCCATGGCTTGCACATTAGTATCTCTCAGTATTTACAAGTCTTTTTTTTTTTGTGCATTAAGATGTGCTGGCACAATCACCATGTAAAATGCTTCTAATCTCAGCTTTGGAGTGAAATGGGGTATCAAGATGTTGCGAAATTTTCTGGTACTTTGAAGAAACCCAAAATGCTTTGAAGTATGTTCATACTAAGTATTAGTGTGATTTCAGAGAATATGCATGGGTTTTAACTTCAAAGGACTGTGTGGAGGCAGTCCTTTTAGACAACAGAGGTTGGTATTGCTCATCCCAAAGTGGTTAAGTATTCTCATTTGAAGTTAGGTGTATAAAGTTCTGGACTTGAAAAAATGCGAGCTATATCAGCAAAGGAGAGAGGCAGGAATGTGTCTGTTTGTGTGTAGTGTCCTTACAATATACTAGTGTATCTCTTGAAGAGCAAGTAAGCAGGAATGTTGTGTGGGGAGATTCAATCGATCTAGAATCAAACCCTTGACAGCATGAAAACGGTGGTTGAATGTAAGGAGCGGCAGGCTTCACCTGAAGTGCGTGCAGTGGAAGAATAAGCTTCGTAGAAAGATGGAATCACATTGGGAAAGTCAATGAAAGGCCAGCTGGCAGCAAGGCCTCTCAAAAATACCATAAGCCAGGTAAGAAGTAGCCCACAATATAAAACAAAAATAACAAATTTCTATTTGTTACAAAAGCTACTCTCCAAAGGTAATTTTCAGCTATTTATGTTGTAACTCCAGCGTTCAGACAAAGCTTTGACGAAACAAAACTGTGGCCTTATGTCCTTGAATTTTGAATAGAAGGAATATGTGATGGAGCTCAGGATGATCCTGGTGATGCTTTTCACTTTATTTGCTAAAGAGTGGGATAAAACACAGTTGGATGAAGAGCAAGATAGTTTTCTTTCCCAGCACTCAGAGTAAAAACCAATCATAATAAAAATATCTTAGCGTGTTGCTTCCATTATTTCTCTTTCACCAGCAGCTCTAGGAATGAACCAAATTCATTGTTCTCTCATTTTCTTGCCCGGTTTAGCCCTTCGTCTGTGCAGTGGGGACAGCTCTCCACTAGTGGTCTCTCCAGGCATGTTTCATCTGCATAGATCCGAGGTTCCCTTCACAGAGTCAGAAGCACAGTCAGAAGCACTGGAGGACAGCAGCGACTAGGGATGTGTTGGCACACACTAACATATATATATATGTGTCTGTGAAAGTACAAAGTAAAGACAGGAAAATACCCTGCCTGCCTATTTCTCCTGATGCAGAGCAGGCTGTGAAGTTTCTCTTTTGACATTTTGAAGTAGCTGTTCCCCGTTCTGTCAGGTAGACTAAAATTCACACCTATAATGAATCCAAGTAAAAAGCATCTCATTCTAATTTTAGCATTCAAAAGTGGAAATAGGTGCTGTTAAACACATATTTGAGAGTCCATGAGTGTTAATTAATACTTCTAAAACCCCAGGCAGAAGCAGAGAGTACACTGATGGGTCTTGTGTTTTTGCAGTTACTGAAAACATCAGGAAAGACTCAAGAGTGGTTTTATCCTTTTACTGCAGCCGTGCTGATGGCTTTGATGAGATTATCAATTCCACCTTTTGAGTAACTTTGTCCACGGTATTTCTTGCCCTATATTTTTCCATAAAGATGTACCAGTGTGATCATTTGTCTTCAACTCAAAAATGCTGCCGTATTTTTAGTCCCTCAATGCTGTATTTTGAATACTCGGGCTGTTTGCATTTGAATAAAGCAGCCTGGTTTGTTTTTCAAGCATGGGTGGGTGTAATTCTGCATCTCCTCCTCTCCACACCCTCCTTCCCCTCTGACTCTCTTGATTAACTGGCAGAAGTTGGGGCTCCCCACTGGCTCCTCCCATGTGTTATAGGGTTGGAGGCAGCTCTAACCCCTCCCAGGGACAGAGCTGGGCAGAGGCAGTGAGTGCCTGCAGCAGATCAGAGACCTCATCCTACCAGACCCCCATCCCTCCAGCTCACAGCAAGTCCCAGCAGACCGGAACCACAGTAGGACGCTTGCCAGCCAGCTGTGCTGAGCCCCTGCGGGTGCTCTGCTGTCCAGCTTGCCCCAGCAAGGGATCGACATGGTGGCCACCTGCCTGCACCTGGCCGGATTTGTCTGCAGTTTCATAGGGTGGATCGGGGTGGTTGTGGCAACGGCCACCAATGACTGGGTGGTGACTTGCGGCTACACCATCACCACCTGCAGGAAAATGGATGAGCTGGGGTCCAAGGGGCTGTGGGCAGACTGTGTCATGGCGACAGGTCTCTATCACTGCAAGCCCCTTGTGGACATCCTCATATTGCCAGGTACGTGTGCCCGATCTCCCCTTGTCTCCCAGAGGTGAGGAGCAAAGCCTTGCTCTGAGCAGCACAGATCCTGCTGCTGGAGGAATTGATGGCGAAGCTCCTTCAACTTCAGCAGCGCAGGAGATGGTTCATAAAATACACTAAGGGATGTGAAAAATAGCTTTTAATATGATTTCCTTAAATTAATACTTAGTTTTAATGGTACCGTGTATCATGAGTTATCTGTGGCTGTTAAGGTCCAGCTGAAGTTTAATGGTTGCTCTTAGGCGCTTGCCTTTTCACATCTTGTGGCTATAGATTGCATTGCAAAACGTACATAGTATATTGAGGTATAATGGAGTATTTCAGGTTTTGCTTTTAGATGATTTCAAATGTGAAGGTTCTATTCCTTAAAGTGATTTTGAGTATAATGAATCTTTCAGCATGTATTATTAATGCTGCTATGGCTTTTAATCTTTTGGAACATCGTCATTAGTCTTGATGGTCTTGTGCTTCACACATGTTCTAAAGCAAGGCATTACTTTTACATGGCAAACAGATGTAACTCTTCAGCTTTTCTTGATCTTTTCTAATTATATAGTAATTTCCATTTAATTTACTGCAAAGCAAAAATCAAGCAAGGTGTTTAATCAGTATGAAGGCATCTTTGAGCTAATTAAGCATGCCAAAGTCTTGTCCCTGTAAGTTTAGTTAGTGATCTCACCTGTTGCAATCAGTTAACTCTGCAGTGCTTCTTCATTCTGATGTGTTTTAGATTGCACCTCCTCTAGCACATCAGAGATGGCTCTTCCAAAGCTGACAGGGTAGAAATAACCATTCCTTGTTGTCTTCTTTAATGTTTCCTTGTTTATTTG